GCCTCCTCACACGGGACCTGAAATGTGTCGCCAGTGGAGACCTGTGTGTCTGACCCCTCAGACCCACCTGCAGCTTGTCACAGATTCTTAGATATTTCTGCACCAGCTGCCTCCCCTAGATTATTGCCTCCAGATCCCTATTTGTGAAGCCCCCAAAAGATGTTTATTCTTGTGCTTTTCATACAATTTGTGAAAATGGACAATGAGGAAAACAGTTTGTCTCTTTGGATACGTGACTGTATAAATGACTTCATGACTGTATATGTGACCGTGGCCCTCTGTGCACGTGACAGGGGGAGGGAAGGGGCGAGAGAGAGGGCAGATATTAACAATGAACAAGGAGTGAAAGGGTCACTGAGGGTGCCTTCAGCTAAGAGTCACAAGACATTTCATTACGGGTAATGTGAACTTCACAAGCAGGCATTAGGCCAAGTAATAAGCTACGGCTGGGGCAGATCAGCAGGACACTGGCGATGTCAGGGACCCAGGGTCTGGATCTGACATTGGCTTTCTAAGAACATGTGTTGAACTTGCGCTTGTGGCCCACTCACCCATAACCTCCTGTGGTTCTAAACCTGGGCTGACTACTGTCAGGGTGGGGGTGTCTTGGGAGGAATGTCACAGGTTGTCATCCAAAGGTCATTTAAGTTCCATTGTGGATTAGAATTCATTTGATTTCAAGCAACAGAAAGCCACTCAAGCTAGCTGAAGTGACAAGAGGAATGTAGAGTAAGGATTAAGGGGGTATAAAGAATACAATAGAAAATTATTTTGGCATCCTGTAAAGTTGAATATGTGCAGATCCTGTGCCAGAAACTCAACACCTGAGATGTCAAAAGAAACTCTGGCACATGTGCACTGGAGACACATGCGCAATGGAGACACATGCGCGGATGTTCTTTGCAGCACTGTTTGTGCTAGCAAAATATTAGAAACAACGTAAATAGCCACTAACAGATGGGTAAATGAAATTGGGGTGCGGAATACCACGCAGCAGGAAAATGAATGGACTCCCACACACGTCGCCGAGGATAAACCTTACATGTGTGGCACAATGAAGGTCCCCGTTGTGTTTGCCAAGGCTTTGTCAGAAAGGCATCAGGTCCCGAGGCTTTCGGTGCCCAATCCCCCCTCACCCTGTCCTTTCCCAGTTGTATTTGCATCACAGTCTCGGGCTTTCCCCATCAGATTCCGCTTCCTGCCCTCCTCGCTCTCCCAGGCACTACCTGCCCATGAACTTCTTGCACTCCTAACTCCGTCTGTGCATCTAATTCCAGCCGACGCAGGAACATAACACTGAGTTCAAACCCCACGTTACGGAAGACCACATACTACAAGATAACATTTTTATAAGGTTCAGCAATACTCAGTCTAACCTCTTACGGGGTAAGAAAGAGAAAATCAATGGAATAATGAAACAAAGTGAAAAGTCAGGGTAGTGGTTTTCTGGTGAATGGGATCAGGAAGGACACATAGGTAACTACAATAGAATTATGATGTTCTATGTTTTAACCGAATGATGGGTTTATATATTATTTATCATTAAGATGAATGACTCATATGTGCATTTCAAATATTCTTGTGTAGGTCTCAAATATTTTATATTTAAAAAATGAAAAAAGGGGCCGACCCCATGGCACACTTGGGAGAGTGCGGTGCTGGGAGCGCAGCGACGCTCCTGCCGCGGATTCGGATCCTATATAGGGATGACCAGTGTGCTCACTGGCTGAGCGCGGTGTGGGTGACACCACACCAAGGGTTGCGATCCCCTTGCTGGTCACAAAAAAGACAAAAAAAAAAAATGGTGGAGAGCACAGGCTCTGGACTGAAACTCTCTGGGTTCAAAGTCCAGCTCCGAAGAAAAAGAAAGAGACATGTTTTCCTCTTTTGGGTGTGCTCGCATGTGATGCCTAGAACTGTGGCAGCCATCCAGTGTCCATGAGGGGCACCAGGCGGAGCTCTGGCTCACAGACTGAAATACTGACATGGCAGAGCAGAGCTGGAAGGGGCCTGGGCATGCGATGATGTAATTCAGCCAATAAACATTTTGTGACTGAAGTCCTCCACCTCCAGACTTCTTTTTTTTTTAAATTAATTTTTTAATATTGAGATCATTGTAGATTCACATACAAATTGTAAGAAATAATACAGAGAGATTTCTTGTACTCTTTAACCAGTTTTCTGCAATAGTCACATCTTGCAAAGCTCTAGTACAACATCACAGCCGGGATATTGACATTGATACAGACAAGACATAGAACAGTTCCAACAACAAAAGAATCCCGCCCCCCCCCGCCCCCCCCCCCTTTATAGCCACACCCACTTCCTTCCCTGCTCCCCACATCCTTAACCTCTGGCAACCACTAATCTTTCCTCCATTTCTGTAATTCTATCATTCCAAGAATGTTGCATAAATGTAATCATCCGCTACATACCTTTTTGGTTTGACTTTTTCCATTCAGCATATTTCTCTGGAGATCCATCCAGGTCGCTGTGTATATCAGTAGCTTGCTTTTTATTGCTGAGCACTATATCACAGTATGGCTGCACCACAGTTTATTTAACCAGCCATCTATCAAAGGGCATCTGGGTTGTTTCCAGTTTTTCACAATTAAAAATAGAGCTTTGTGTGCAGATTCGTGTGAACATAAGTTTTTACTTCTTTACGATATGTCCAAACGTGCAATTGCTGGGCAGTATGGTGGTTGTATGTTAATTTTTATAAGAAACTGCCCAATCCATTTCCAGAGTGGCTGTACCATTTTGCAATCCCACCAGCAATGCATAGTAGTCCAGTTTCCCTGTATCCTCACCAACGTTTTGTGTTACCACTATTTTTTGATTCAGAAGTTCTGATAAGTATGTAGTGATATCTCATTGTGGTTTTAGTTTGCATTTCTTTAATGGCTAATGATTTTTTTTTTTCTTTTTGGCAGCTGGCTGCTATGGGGATCCAAACCCCTGACCTTGGTGTTACAAGGGTGCACTATAGCCAGCTGAGCTAGCTCAGCCAGCTAATGGCTAATGATTTGGAACAGGCTTTCATGAGGTTGTCTGCCATCTGTGTATCCCCTCTGGTGAAATGTCTCTCCATGATTTGCCTATTTTCTAATTAGATTGTTTTTTTTATTTCACTGTTCAGTTTCAAGAGTTTTTTAAAAATACGTATATTCTAGATAATAGTCCTTGGTCAGACATGTGGTTTCCAGATATTTTCCCCCAGTCTGTTACTTGCCTTTCCATCCTCTTAATGGGGTCTTGCACAAAGCAGAAGTTTGAATTTTGAAGTCAATTTGTCAATTTTTTCTTTTTTGAATTGTGCTTTTGGTGTGAAGTTTATGAACTCTTGGCCTAGCCCTACATCTCAAAGATTTTCTCCTATATTCTTTTCTAAAAGTTTTACAGTTTTAAATTTAAGTTTGTAATCCATTTTAAGTTAATTTTTTGTGTAAGATGTGAGTTTTATGTTGTGGTTCACTTTCCTGCCTATAGATGTGCAATTGCTGCAACACTATTTGTTGAAAAGGCTATTATTCCTCTATTGAATTGGTTTTGAACCTTTGTCAAAAATCAGTTGGGCATATTTGTGTGGATCTATTTCTGGGTTTTCTATTGTGTTGCGTTGGTCTGTATGTCTGTCCCTCCAGTGATAGCACACCGTCTTGACGACTGTAGTGTACACCAAGTCTTGAAATCAGGCAGACTAATTATTCCCACTTTATTCTTTTTCAAAATTTCTTTAGCTGTTCTAATTCTTTTAGCTTTCTACATAAATTTAGAATAATCTTGTCTATATATACAAAAAAAAACTTGCTGGAGTTTTGATAGGAATTGTATTAAACCTATATGTCAAGGTGGAGAGAATTGACACCTTTACTATGTTGAGTCTTCAAATCCGCAAACACAGTATGTGTGTGTCTCCTTTTATTTAGATCTTCTTTAACGTCTTTCATCAGAATTTTGTAATTTTCAGTATACAAGTCCTGTACATGTTGGGTTGGGTTTTTTTT